AGTGGCGAAAAGACGAAAGGCTGTTTTATTGACAGTAAATAGCGGAAAGTGCTAAAAACTCAATCCAAACTGAAAGTGCCCTTTTTTGGCAACTTATTAGAGAGGTTCTCAATTGAGTATCGTAAAATCAAAACCAAACTTATCACTCTAGCCAATCACAAAGGACACAGCCAATCCAGTGAATCAATCAAAACTTTGGGTATAACCTCGCAAGGCTACCCTCTTTTCCGAAAATTCCTGAAAATGCTGTTCCATTCGCCACAGAAAATTTTTGGAAATTTGAACCCTCTGACTTCCTCGCCGTTTCCCCTTCCATTTACATCTATATCTCAGCCGGCAAAAAGGCCTGTACCACATTAGGAACATATCCGTGTTATTTTCCTGCATTCAGAACTGCTGTTCAGACTATGTTACTTTGAAACAAGGAAACACTCCCCATTAAAAATTAAGGCGGTGTTTAATAAAGCAGCAATATATTTAAGCCCGAGAATTAGCATCACAAAGACTTACAGCACAGGATCCTGTGAATTTCTTTTCTATATGTTCGGTTCGTAATTGAAATAATCCAAGGATTTATAACGCTGCTCAATAAACCCAATCCAGTGCACGCCAAAGCCAAGTTTCTGTCAATCTGGTGCCATGAATACGCTGTGTTCATGACGATTTCAGTGACGAATACTGGAGTCCAACATAAAACGTAAACAAATACAATTACAAACATTGCGCGAGTCATTTTCAATTCTGCTGCCCTTGAAGGTAAACTTGACCTTTGATCTTCGGCACAGTTTTGCAGAGTCGAAGCGACATCAATTTGGTGACGTCTTACGTGACGGAAAATCTTCGCGTAGGAAGATATGAAAATGGCGAAGGGAAACATTGTCAATAGAGCGGAGCTTGCGTAATTCGCCAAGTGAGCCAAGATTACAGAATTAGTTTTGGGGTCTACGTACAACACACAGGTCGCTTTGAGAGGGTGGAAATAAAATGAGAACATTTTGAAGAAATAGAAGCCGATCACTGTACCGAAAACTACAAGCCATATGGAAAAGACAAAGATGAACGTAGATTTACACGAGAAAATTGCGCGATATTTTTCGGGTCTAACGACGCAGTAGTAACGGTTAACAGCGATAAGTGCCATAAGATACAGAGACACGCCGACAAGAGAGTACATCGCCAATGCTTGGAGCTTGCAGACTGTTTTGTCAAACAACCATTGGCCCGTCGTGAGAACGGACAGGATGAAAGGCCCCATAACAGAGCAAGAAAGTACATCGGATATGGCAAGGGCAGCGACAGCTACATTAGTAGCTTTTGAACGGAGAGATAGGTTTCTGTACACTGCTAAACAAACGCACACATTGCCAATCAGACCTGTGAGTGCAAAAACGAGGAAGACCAGTGAATCGACTACCACGGTAAGCGTTCCTCGGGATTGTAGTTCTCTTTCCAGAACGATGAAAACATCGAAACTCTGATTGAGATCAACAGAGTTATTCATCATTTAAATTTGACCTCATCCAAGAAATGAGTGTAGCCCTTTTTTTCACTAGTTACAACTGTAGCAATCTGTTAAATACATAACCATATTCAGTTACTTTAACCTCAGTTGCGTGCCTACTGCGAAGAAGAAAATTGTACAGCTGCTATTTTTCAAGGCTCCCTTTGAAGCAATTTTCAAAGGACGTAAATTAAAAATCGCGTTTGTTTACCACATATGATGAAGACAACATAGCCCAGAAATTAATAAATACCTATCACAGCTGTCTTTGTGTCATTGGCACTGCTAGTATTTTCAATTCTCTGTCGGGTTCTCAAATATATCAACTTTTTATTCACCACACAAGTGAACAGTGCTTTTTACGCGTTCTGATTAGTTAATTGGGAGGCGGTGAGCGAAGTACCATCCACCTCCTCTTCGGTGAATAATTGTTAAATATATCTCCACTACGAGAAATGATTAAAAAGCAGTTGAAATTGTGTTCTTTTGTTTAAGTTTTGAAACGCAGATCGCTAAAGAAAAATTACTTTTTCAAGGAGAATTTCTGATCGTGTATGTACCTGACAGTGATATGCTTCTGATGTTGATGAATAGAACTTTTGAATTGAAAGAAATCTGGCGATCGCACCACCCGTTTAGCCGGATACAAATTTCAAGGTGTGACATCCACATGAGAGGGAAGGAAATAATAATTTTTAGCGGGCACCCCTTTGAGGAAACAGCTCAAAAAAAAATTCATTTATCATAGGCCATTTCCGAATTGCCTTTTTCTCTTGGTCTAAACGAGTCTTTGTGCAAAACCATTCATATGAAAATGTGTTCCGCCTACAGGTGCGTTTTCATTCAAATCAAACTCATTTTCATTTGAAAAACCATTTGAAAAGTTTTGTTGCATCAATGCATGTATTATCTCAACCCCAGTCCTCTAGGAAACACGCGATCAACCTCGAGCCATGCTTGAAACGGACGGAAGATGCCTGAAGCAGTCAGTGAAACAAGCCATGTGCGTTCACCAAAAGAACTCACTGAGGAAGACAAGATACTTGTCAGAGAGACGTGGAAAGAAGCAGCTAAACCAGAGGTCCAAGCGGGGCAGAAATTATTCCAGAAGTAAGTAACGTTTGACAGCTGATTTTAACGTTTGCCTCGGCTAATGCTGCGATTTACCCTTTTTGCCCCGATATCAACATCACATTCTCTTGACTGATTTCTAAACTTATCTTTAATTTCGAGTCGGGAGTATCGGTTTTAAATTGTCAAAGAACTTTGTCGTTTGTGATCTCTTTCTTAATTTCTTGTAGGTTGTATGTTTGATAATGTGCTAATATTGAATGGTCGGAAATTACACTTTCATCACTGACCGCACTAGCCTCTCAATGCAAGGGTTAACATCATTACGTAAACACGATTTCAGTTTAACAGCGTTTTTCTTCGGAAAAATGTTTTAATAATCACAAAGAAACGAAGTGAAAAAGAATCGGTGCTAATACTCATTCAGTTTGATTATTTTTAGACTGAGTTGAACTAAAGAGATAACGATGGCTCTTTCGCAGTCAGGGGTACAACTCGAGTGGAAACAGATTAGCCTTCCGCTCTGCCCCTGAGAGAAAAGGAGATTAGTTAAGCCCGTCTGGTAAAGATGCCATACTTGTTTACTTTTAAAACTCAACTCACAGAAAAGAAAACGTCTACATATGGGGTTGTCGCTGTAAAAAATGCCATATATAGATTACTCGTCTTCCGTTTTTTCGTTTAATACGATAATGAGGTCTGGAGGTCAGAGAAGGAGTTGAAATTACAATATTCTTTTCAAATGCTGTGTTCCGTTTTCTAAACTGACGATTTATGCTATTGATGTTGTGGGTAAAATATTCTTTTGTTATCATATTTTGCAATTCATTATTGATTGGGGAATTACATAGAATTACATAGTTGAATTTCTTTAATGTTGTTCTACTGACGTAACTAAGCCGGCGTTTGCGATTATCGAAATATGTTTTTAATAACGAGTTCTTTCCATGTGGTGCTGTTTCTTATGAAGTAAGGTGACCTTGTGGAGTTTGACCAGTCAAATCAAAGCTGTTTTTAAATACTTTCATGCGGCGCCTCTCATTTCTTTTTCAAATTTCGCAAAAGCAAATTTTAATGAGAGAATTTGACCAATCTACACTTCGGTAAATTAGCGGCAAATAACGGATTAGCGTTTAATCTTGGCCCTTTTTTGGCTCTACTGATTTGCAATATCGCAATACGATACCAAAACGCTCGAAATAGAACGAAAGCTGTATGGTATTTGGGTGTGACTAAGCTAGAATATGAACAAACGACATGGAAACTCTAATTATGCCACCGAGAAAACAGATGAAGAAATACTTGAAAACTGAACCACATAATCTATTCCCAAGGAATTCAATAAAGCAAGGTGCTGTTTCTTGTCACAAGTACTTTGTACCCCAAGGCTGTTTCACTATTAGACCGTGGTAATCTGTAAGCAGTTGTAGATTGGGCGAACTGATTATAAGAGTGTGAATAGCAAGGTCGCGTTATTTTTTTATGTGGGGATTTTTTTGTATGTTTATCACAAACACAAGCTTTAAACAGGTCACATCATTAGGAAAATAACCGAAGGGGCAGTTATCTTTTATTCCTAATTTTACCATTTTTTAACATGTTGGATTTTAGACAATTTTTTGCATTCACCGCTTTGTAGCGGTTTTTCTTTCTAAACACTTTCATTCATTTTTATTACTTAGATATCTATTTTATGCATGTAAAATGTAGTCGTTTACCTTATTGTTAGTATTATTTCGTTGTCACTTTTTTTCTCTGGTACATTTCTGGTAAAAACGAATTCAGTTCATTTTGCAAAAAGAGTGGTCAAACACCATACTTTCACCCGACACAGATTAAAAGTTAAACAGTAAAAAAGACTGACTTGTATTATGAAACTGCAAGATTTTTATGATGGAAAATTACTGTTTAAGAACTGCAAAATGCTTAAAGTTTATGACTAAGGTGGCCGGCTAATAGATTAGACGAATTGATTATAAAGGGTCTGATTAGAATGAAGCGAATTTTTTTGTTATCACAAACGCAAACTTGCTGTCAATGAATTTAAGTAGTTAAGTCCAAGCTACAAAACTAGCCGACAAAAAGGAATTCCTGCGCTTGCCACAGGTCGCATTTTTTTCCAATTCCCGCGTTAACCACTTGATTACATTTAACAAATTGACGTCAGTTTTTCATGCGTCTGTCCTGTAATTGATCATGAATTTCGTCATAACATTGTCAATGTAGTCTGCGGATCCACTCGGCTATCGCTTCGTGGATCCACAGCTACTTTGACAATGTTGACGAAATTCATGATCAATAACAGGACAGACACATTAAAAACTGACGTAAATTTGTTTTTTACGATAACAAGTTGTCAAATTGTCCGCTCTCGCCCTTGACGCATCGCATAAATTATAAATTCATGTGTCTGTCCGCTTATTGACAATAAAAATTAGCCAATGAGCGCGCGAGAATTTCTGCAGTTATCGTAAAATAGTATTTTGATAACCCTTTTCCACTTTTTCGTTGCCGCACTAATTGCATGGTTCTGTTGTAACCATTTCAGGATATTTCAAATTTCTCCCGATGCTATGAGTTATTTTTCCAACCCAGATATGGAGAGTGACGAATTCAAGGCTCACATCACTCGGGTCATGAGTACGTTAGATACTGCCATACAAAATCTAGACGACTTGGCCGAGCTCGCGCCTACTCTTGAGAGACTGGGAACAATTCATGCTACCATGGGAATCAAGAAAGAACAGCTTGCCGTAAGTATCGCCGGCTCGCCTCACTTACAGTAACTTGTGAAGCAAGAATGCCACTTGGAAAAATGCCGATCTTCAGTTTCCATTTCCGTAGCCTGCGAACGCAGACGTATCTCCGGCTTTCGCTTGTCTCCGCCGAAAATAAAGTCTGCGAACCCGAGCCAGGAAACGATTTCTGTGACGTAATGACTTTTGTTTCTCCTTGGCCAATCAGATTCCATGATAGAATGAAAGTCGAGTGCTCCNGAAAATTATGGGTCTCTAAACACCCGTTAGTTAGTCTCCACAGGCTTATAACGGATCCGATATTCTATAATCCAATAAATCACCGCCTGAAAGCTTGGTGTGTTGAAATATTTTGTAAATGTAGATGAACAATGTCATCCAGAGAAGCTTCATACAACGCACAAGCATTTATTTCTCTGAAAAGTCCAGCCTCTTCTCTGTGAGATCAAATGACGTCATTTCCACATCCGGGGACGCACAGAGGTCAGGTGACCCGACGGACCTTGGCGATGACTCTCGGGATAACGCGCGGGATGGCGAGGAATGCTGACGAAGAGGTCTGACCTAGAATCCGGGAGGTTACAAAAGGTTATTACAACAGGATGCGCGATCAAGCTAAGAGCTTTCTATTCATCTGAAGTTCATGACCAGAGGCAAGAATTAAGTACAAAGGCTCCCAAAACGTTACAACATGAAACAAAATACTAAACAATTAGATTATGAGCTCGAGATTTCTATCACGCATAGAAATCGAGAGCGAATAATCTTATTGTTTTAGTATAAATCTGCTAGTCCTTTAAAACTTGATCTAAATCCTCTTCACAGACAAAAGCGCCAAAAAGCGGCCGTCATTTCGTTAACATTAGGGCACATTGCTAAGCTACTCACTATCTATCACAGAATAGATAGTGAGTAGCGTAGCCAATCAGAGAACGGCATTAGTGATAGAACGCTAATAGATTTATACTAATAAACATTAGTAGAATTCTACTAGTATACTAATGCAAATGCTACAATCTGATTGGCTAAGCTACTCGTATACTATCAGCCATTAGAATGCAGTAGCTGTCGCTCGTCCACGAAATGCGACGTTTTCATCGTTTTTCCGAAGTTTTGGAAGAAAGTTTAGATGTCAATGGATAATTGTATTCCTCAGAAGACAAAAAGAAGGACATAAACGGATTCTTGACTTTAAAAACTTGAAATTATTGAAAACCTGTGCGCGCGCGTAAAAAACTGCAAATTTAGCAAGGACAATTCAATACGTGCGATTTTGTTGCGGAGTAAAGTTCAATAATGCGTCGAAAAATATTTGGAAACCATTCTTTGCGTTAATTTAAGTTAGAGTTCTACTAAAACAATTAGATTATTCGCTCTCGATTTCTATGAGGCGATAGTTGATTCGGCCGTCGGTCTCATCGACTATCACCTCATAGAAATCTCGATCTCATAATCTAATTGTTAAATATAAAAACGCGCGAAAAGTCCGAGTAGACATCTTAAAACAGGATTGCCAATGTTGCTTGCAACAATGCTATCTCGACTATGTTAAATAATCAAACGGTACGTTTGCATGGCCAGCATTCAAGCTGCACTTCCAGAATATCACTGGAACCAAAGGCTCACTGTCCTAAGGGGTTTCTTTTTTCACACGAGACTTTCTACAACGCACTACGGAGCAACATTTACCAGTAAAAAAAAGGTGACTATATTTGAATGTAAGGGGTTAGACTACTTACCTGAGAACGCCTCAAAGGTGTCGGAGTGTTGAAAAGCTTGAAGGCGTGTTGATTTGTGGCAGAACTAGAGAGCAATGTTAACCAAAACCAAACTTTATCGATCGGACATTTATAAATGCATACATGTATAGGGGAACTCGTGAGTGAGAGGCAAACATCAAAGTTTTCACAATAGTTACCTTCGCACCAGACTGCTGGGAGATTTGCCTTTTGTCTGCGAATAAATTAACAGAGAAAATGATGCATTAGGGACGAATCAAAGCCAAGAAGAACTGTAATTATTTCCTTTTCCAGCTTCCCATCGGTCCAGAATCCCAAATCCTTGAATCTTATTAGTTAATCGTGCGTACTCCAGCGGTTCGTATTTTCCCATCCGGACCCCGGTTACGGACCGTGCCGAAATTTTCCGACTTTGGCAACTTTTCAAGCTTTTTGTTACACCGTAAAACAACGTAAAATGCAAACATTCAGCACAGAGTCGAACAAAACAGCAAATAAAGCCATTTTCGATTTTTCATGAATGTGTGTCGCTTAGATTTAGAGCTCATTACTCAACTTCATTTCAAGCCGTGCGTTTCTTTCTCATTAACATCAATTTTTGCCACATAAGGGACATTTTTGGCCAAAATCCAACTTTGTTAAACGTGATATTTCCCTACACAGAGGCACATGTAAAATCAGCCCTACAAATTCTGCAAACAGTACCGCTATTTGTGCCCGAAATGTCAAACGCACGCGCTCGCCAGATTTGAACTGAACAGCTGTAATTGAAATTGAACACAAAAGTTGCTTTCTAAGTAACACAGCAGAGAAAAAAAAAATAACAGTCGACGACAACGTAGTCAAGACCTCGGGCACAGTTTTTTCCAATACGGACCGACCAAGGCCGGAAAATAACATATATGTATATTACAGTCGCTAGATGCCTGAAATAACACCAAAAACAATTTTCCATGGGAAGTAAGTCGAGAAAATAAATTTCAAAGCTCAGAGAAATTGTGCAAACACAGCTAAAATTTCATCATCAGTTTGATTTCACCAGTACTTTCAAGTATTTCAAATGAACTTCAACATTTGTTTTCGACATTTGGTATTGTTCGAAATGATTTCTTTTGAGAAGATAATTAAGGCACAGAAGTTTGCTATAAAATGTAAATAACCTCGCTACAAAGTTTTTGTCCACTTGTTACTCGAACTTCTGGTGGATTCTCTCTCAGGTTTTAATATAAAAAAAATCTACCACCAACTTACAGACCCAAACATCTGCATCAAAGTTTCCATTAATTTTACTCACCCCCACCGGGGTTCGTAGTCCTGCTAACCGCTGATTTCTCCTCACAGGACTCCCCAGAGTTCCCTGACACACCACTTGACGTTTTCTTAACATATCCTTCCCATTGTTGGACCTTCTCTGTGACGCCTTATTTCGCTGACGTCTGGACCGGGCTAAGGGTCTCCTAGGACTACCTGTTAGCCGAATTATGCCACGATATATAAAGTCAATTTTGCACAATGTGATGGGAATAATCATCTACACCACTTCAGCTTAAGACCAAATATTGGTTTTCAGTTAGTCTCAGGGCAAAATTCGAGTAAAATTAAATTTCCCAATAAATGACTTCTGTCCATAATTCCTCGAATACTCGCCCTATTTTTTAACCAAACATTCGTTACAAGTTCTCCTCATAAAAGTCAGTAATTTCCCACTTTAAACAATTCCTCAAATTCCATGTCGGACTTTCCAAGTCTGGAAAGCAGTTTTTTTATTTTACGATTTTTCTTTAACCGTGTAAATCCTAATTCTGCATAACTCCGCACTCTGCTACACTCGAGTCTTAACTGGCCCACTGGACGTCCTGTGTGCTTTGTGAATGGCTAAAGTGACTGCTTTGGTTCTGGTTTTAAGACACTCATTAAGAACGGCTTACTAACCAAAATCTTTGTCGAGTGACAAGGTCACAGTTAACAAACCAACCTCTTCTATTCAGTGTTCTTCCTGCCGCTGAACAACATAACGCAGGCATCAGTACATCCGGGCTCTGACCGCTGACGACTGAAAATGTGGTCATCTCTATGTCGTTGGTTTTGAATTGAATCTCAGGCTCTTCTTTTGATGAAAACAGCCCAATGAAGCGTTGGAAAAAGGACGGTTCAGGCAGGGCTAAGAGAGGTAGAGAGAGGAAAAACTCATGAAGGCAACGGTCGCCAAAAGTAGATCTGACTCGCACCCAGTCGCTATTTACGGCTCAGATTGGATTGTTTAAAGAGAAAGCGGTCTGAGTCGAGTGGATCGCGTGTGAAGTCATGGATTCCTTTGACCCTTCCCATGACACCCCTCGCGCCTTAATCCACCCTGGTATCCAATCTTCTCTTCCTCACGTAAAAAGCGACTGGGTACGAGTCTGCAAAAGTATCAGATCGCGGACAACACTTTTACCGGGCCATCTCCAAGGGACTATAAACGTTGCTCTTTGTTCTATTCTCGTGACGACTGAATTGACATCTTCATCGTTTTATTTTCCTCTATCTTAACCTCACGCTTTAGACATTACCGATCGTAGCAGTAAACATGTACAGAGGGTTACGGGATCGACTTCTGATGGAGACTCAGATTCTTTTCCACCTCAAGTTCGAAAAAACCGAATTTACATAATTATTAAAACCAAGTCTTAATTACTTTGAGTAGAATGAAGCAATAAACGGAGGACTACATTCGGAGACAAGGAATATACTTCGGATTGCACAATATTCTCTGAGTCTTCATTTTTTTCACACTTACGCTTCAACTGGGCTCGAGTCAGTCCGCTCTTAAAATTACCTAGTCATCGTTCCTTGTTTTTTGACCAGTAGTATATAAATTTTAGCGATTTCATTTCTCCAGAGAAGAGATCGGAATGTGACGCGGGCCGGACCGCTGGAGAGGTAAGCGCGGGCTCATTATCTTCAGGAATCGCGTTCCTCACCTTGAGAAGGTTGGTTGCTGAGTGTTCGTTGTTTTTTTCTCCTGTTTCCGGCGTCATGGTCGTTCAAACTTCTTTTACTTCTCTTAGCTGTGAAGAGTAAATATTACGTCAACACTGAGGAAAGCTTACAAACCTTCAAACGAGGAGATTGGTGACACCATCACACGTCAACACAACTTTTTTTAGAAAGAGATTCACAGCCACGTCCCTCCCCCCTTCCCTAAACACAATGGTGAGACATTTCAGCCGATATCATGATTACATAGATACAGTAGTTATCAAGGATTAACACGCGACAATAAAATACCAGGCTCCAGTTGTTCGAAGGCTGAATAACGCTATCCACCGGATAAATCGCTATCCTGTAGATAAAAGTTAACAAAACAAACCACGCTGGATAGTGATTTCTCCGGTGGATAGCGTTATCCACCTTTCAAACAAACCGTGCCAGATACAGTTGCTTGATCTTGGGCAAAGCAAAGTACTTAACTTAATAACAACCGAAGACTGAAAGTCGGGCAGCTTTCACGGGCTATTTGTTAAAACAAAACAAACAAGGGAAAAAAACACGCCTATTCAATCGTACAACGCGGATCTCATCCCAGCCTCACCCCCGTCAAAATAATTGATTAACGTTAACCCGTCTCCTAGCAGCCATGATATTGATTCAATCAATTCAAATTGAAGTGATGGATTCAACACTATGGCTGGATATATAAAATTCAGGGATCATATAAAGAGAGAATGTAATACTTCCCTGGGTACCAGAGGTTTTTTCTCGCCCGCGGCGGACGGAAATACTTCGCTTCGCTTCGGTGGGAAACCTCTGGCACCCAGGGTAATGTGAGGCTTTTCTTGAGTGAAAATTCTCACTGTTATCTCGTGAACTTTACCTTGAAGATTTTCTTTTTCTTCGTCTATCACAGCTTGAATTGAGTCGATTTCCCACTTCGGAATCGGTTTCACTTTCCAGATCGCTGTAACTAACTTTTCACGAGTTACCCTGAGCAGAAATAGACAATGTATGTTACTATCATGATAGACTATTGACACACTGCGCAGACAAACTGCAAGTGACAAAATGGATAACACAGGTGAAACGCGTTGATGAAAAACGAGTTTCCAAATGCGTTAGCAAAAACGCGCCAACGTGTTGACTTCTTTTTTCAACGAGTTTGAAACGCGTTTGATAGTTCGCTTATCTCTGAGCGGTATTTTAGGTGATTTAAGGCAATTCGTCCCATGTGGAATTAAATGCAACGTATACTTGGGATCAAGCTTTTGCTCTGCCCACATTTTAAAACCTTAAATTAGGCGATTTAAAAATTCTCCGCCGTGGTCCCTATTCAGCGCAGTGTGTTTAAACTTCATACTAATTTATCCTTTTTTTTCACGTCTGGAAATAGATTTATGCGGCGTTACAATACGCGGACTTTACTGGATAAATTACATTACTCCATCATTCTTTTGATCATATTCAGTACGACATGTTAGAATTTTATTATAGCTGGAATACTGTACTGTAAGTAATGTAAGTATTTCGCATAACATATTGTAAGTATTCCCGGGAAGTATTGTAAGAAACTGAATGTACTGTACGTATTGTATTGTTAGTAGTGCAAGTAGCCGGTATTGTAAGTAAATGTATTTTCTGCAAGTAATAGCAGTATTCAATTGTAAGTAGAGTATTGTGTTGCCAGGGTAAGTAACCCTATTGACATTTGTAAGCAACGTAAGTATTGTTCTGTGAGTAGAGATTGTAATGAGATCTGCATTGTAACTAATGTAATAATTATGTGTTTTGTAAGCTAAAATTATTGAAAATATACTCTGTCATTTACCGTTATTTAAAATGCACTTACAGACTTGCTGGAGGATGCAGCAAGATTGGCAAAACTTGCGCTATTTCTGTCAGCGGTAGAATCTCAACTGAAAATAATGGATAGTAAACTAATTGTAAAGATAATAGATCGTCTTTCTAATGGCATTATTATGTTTGCTAAGCTGAAAAAACTGAACAGGAGCGGTGTATAAGCACTGCAATCTAATGTACGAAGAACTGAACAAACCTGAGAGCACATCCAACAAGGCGAGGGCAACTTGGAAGATCACCGACATACCTGAGGGTAAAAACCAGTATATCTGTTAGGTTGAACAAAAAATCCGGTTGATTTGTTGCGCGTTAAAAGCTAGAATGTATAAAAAGATAATTAAATTTGAAATTTCTTGTTAGGCCAACCCTTAAGGACGTTAAGGCCAACCAAAATTAAAATAATAATTAAAAAGAAGATAATAACGGAGTGATTAATCGTTCATTCCACATATTGTATCTAGAGTTTTCAATCACATGCAAGACAACGAGACTTTCACACGCATTCTTAGTATATAAAGAACTCATAAGAATCTGGCCTTTGGTTCTGCGAATTTGAAAATGATGAACGAGTCATGGAAACGTCATTCAAACATACCAGGGGGTTGTAGGTCCTGCAGTTAAATTAAATAACCATTATGCTCATAACATACATGTGCATGTATAATGATGTACCAACCTTCCAACAGAAGCATGTCCCAGATAGCGAGTACAGCGTCCCAACAGGGTAGAGATGTAAACAGGGCCATGAACCACGGCGTCAAGTACATCAGCGGTAATACACATTGCGCTTCCTAAATACAGGACCAGTGATAACATGTCAACTGTTTTGTTCTTGAAGCCAAAATGGCAAAGAAAAATGTAATATTCTGATCGACTTAGCACTTGCGACCTCCAAAGGACAAGTACATATCAATGTTTATAAAATAAATCTATGTGAGATACATCATACCACGAACACCCTGACTGGTCGATAGGTGTTTTTAGATGAGAGTACCTTAACACAACTGTGACGTTTTAGATTCACGTGTATTTTTGAGAAATATTTTATAAAAGCAATAGAGGGTTTGTCCGTGTTTACATAGTCTTATTTAAACACGAGGGGGGTTGGGACAATTCGAGACAGTTATGCGAACCCTGGACTGCATTTTGGGTTTGCATAACTGTCTCGAATTCTCCCAACCCCCCTCGTGTTTAGATGAGGCTATGTAAACACGGAATAAAACCTCTTATCTATTGCTTAAGTGTAACTGAGTTGACAGCGATTAAAAGTTGTTACAGTGTTAGTATTAAATTTTTACCAAGTGTTTGTAAAGCTTGGTTCTTCTCTGTCTCATCAATCTCTCAAAAACTGCCGCATGTCTCTGAATCCTACAAACAAAATTAACACAAACAATGGGCTGATGCAGAAGGGGCAACTATCAACCGATAGTTCCTCGACAGAAACACTCTATTGTTTAATTAGAATGCAGTAGCTGTCGCTGGTCCACGAAATGCGACGTTTTCATCGTTTTCCGAACTTTTGGAAGAAAGTTTAGATGTAAATGGATAATTATATTCCTGAGAAGACAAAAGGAAGGACATAAACGGATTCTTGACTTTAAACACATGAAATTATTGAAAAACCGGTGCGCGCGCGTAAACAACTGCAAATTTACCAAGGACCACTGGTTTGTTAGTATTTTTATACTATTTTAGTGCTACCCTCTTTAAATAGTCTTTACTTTACTTACTTTACTTACGTGCGATTTTGTTGCGGCGTAAAGTTCAATAATGCGTCGAAAAATATTTGGAAACCATTATTTGCGTTAATTTAAGTTAGAATTCTACTAAAACAATTAGATTATTCGCTCTCGATTTCATAATCTTATTGTTAAATATAAAAATGCGCGAAAAGTCCGAGTAGACATCTTAAAACAGGATTGCCAATGTTGTTTGCAACAGTGCTATCTCGACTATGTTAAATAATCAAACGGTACGTTTGTATGGCCAGCATTCAAGCTGCGCTTCCAGAATATCACTGGAACCTAAGGCTCACTGTCCTAAGGGGTTTCTTTTTTTCACACGAGACTTTCTACAACGCACTACGGAGCAACATTTACCAGTACAAAAAAGGTGAATCTATATTTGAATGCAAGGAGTTAGACTACTTACCTGAGAACGCCTCAAAGGTGTCGGAGTGTTGAAAAGCTTGAAGGCGTGTTGATTTGTGGCAGAACTAGAGAGCAATGTTAACCAAAACCAAACTTTATCGATCGGACATTTATAAATGCATACATGTATAGGGGAACTCGTGAGTGAGAGGCAAACATCAAAGTTTTCACAATAGTTACCTTCGCACCAGACTGCTGGGAGATTTGCCTTTTGTCTGCGAATAAATTAACAGAGAAAATGATGCATTAGGGACGAATCAAAGCCAAGAAGAACTGTAATTATTTCCTTTTCCAGCTTCCCATCGGTCCAGAATCCCAAATCCTTGAATCTTATTAGTTAATCGTGCGTACTCCAGCGGTTCGTATTTTCCCATCCGGACCCCGGTTACGGACCGTGCCGAAATTTTCCGACTTTGGCAACTTTTCAAGCTTTTTGTTACACCGTAAAACAACGTAAAATGCAAACATTCAGCACAGAGTCGAACAAAACAGCAAATAAAGCCATTTTCGATTTTTCATGAATGTGTGTCGCTTAGATTTAGAGCTCATTACTCAACTTCATTTCAAGCCGTGCGTTTCTTTCTCATTAACATCAATTTTTGCCACATAAGGGACATTTTTGGCCAAAATCCAACTTTGTTAAACGTGATATTTCCCTACACAGAGGCACATGTAAAATCAGCCCTACAAATTCTGCAAACAGTACCGCTATTTGTGCCCGAAATGTCAAACGCACGCGCTCGCCAGATTTGAACTGAACAGCTGTAATTGAAATTGAACACAAAAGTTGCTTTCTAAGTAACACAGCAGAGAAAAAAAAAATAACAGTCGACGACAACGTAGTCAAGACCTCGGGCACAGTTTTTTCCAATACGGACCGACCAAGGCCGGAAAATAACATATATGTATATTACAGTCGCTAGATGCCTGAAATAACACCAAAAACAATTTTCCATGGGAAGTAAGTCGAGAAAATAAATTTCAAAGCTCAGAGAAATTGTGCAAACACAGCTAAAATTTCATCATCAGTTTGATTTCACCAGTACTTTCAAGTATTTCAAATGAACTTCAACATTTGTTTTCGACATTTGGTATTGTTCGAAATGATTTCTTTTGAGAAGATAATTAAGGCACAGAAGTTTGCTATAAAATGTAAATAACCTCGCTACAAAGTTTTTGTCCACTTGTTACTCGAACTTCTGGTGGATTCTCTCTCAGGTTTTAATATAAAAAAAATCTACCACCAACTTACAGACCCAAACATCTGCATCAAAGTTTCCATTAATTTTACTCACCCCCACCGGGGTTCGTAGTCCTGCTAACCGCTGATTTCTCCTCACAGGACTCCCCAGAGTTCCCTGACACACCACTTGACGTTTTCTTAACATATCCTTCCCATTGTTGGACCTTCTCTGTGACGCCTTATTTCGCTGACGTCTGGACCGGGCTAAGGGTCTCCTAGGACTACCTGTTAGCCGAATTATGCCACGATATATAAAGTCAATTTTGCACAATGTGATGGGAATAATCATCTACACCACTTCAGCTTAAGACCAAATATTGGTTTTCAGTTAGTCTCAGGGCAAAATTCGAGTAAAATTAAATTTCCCAATAAATGACTTCTGTCCATAATTCCTCGAATACTCGCCCTATTTTTTAACCAAACATTCGTTACAAGTTCTCCTCATAAAAGTCAGTAATTTCCCACTTTAAACAATTCCTCAAATTCCATGTCGGACTTTCCAAGTCTGGAAAGCAGTTTTTTTATTTTACGATTTTTCTTTAACCGTGTAAATCCTAATTCTGCATAACTCCGCACTCTGCTACACTCGAGTCTTAACTGGCCCACTGGACGTCCTGTGTGCTTTGTGAATGGCTAAAGTGACTGCTTTGGTTCTGGTTTTAAGACACTCATTAAGAACGGCTTACTAACCAAAATCTTTGTCGAGTGACAAGGTCACAGTTAACAAACCAACCTCTTCTATTCAGTGTTCTTCCTGCCGCTGAACAACATAACGCAGGCATCAGTACATCCGGGCTCTGACCGCTGACGACTGAAAATGTGGTCATCTCTATGTCGTTGGTTTTGAATTGAATCTCAGGCTCTTCTTTTGATGAAAACAGCCCAATGAAGCGTTGGAAAAAGGACGGTTCAGGCAGGGCTAAGAGAGGTAGAGAGAGGAAAAACTCATGAAGGCAACGGTCGCCAAAAGTAGATCTGACTCGCACCCAGTCGCTATTTACGGCTCAGATTGGATTGTTTAAAGAGAAAGCGGTCTGAGTCGAGTGGATCGCGTGTGAAGTCATGGATTCCTTTGACCCTTCCCATGACACCCCTCGCGCCTTAATCCACCCTGGTATCCAATCTTCTCTTCCTCACGTAAAAAGCGACTGGGTACGAGTCTGCAAAAGTATCAGATCGCGGACAACACTTTTACCGGGCCATCTCCAAGGGACTATAAACGTTGCTCTTTGTTCTATTCTCGTGACGACTGAATTGACATCTTCATCGTTTTATTTTCCTCTATCTTAACCTCACGCTTTAGACATTACCGATCGTAGCAGTAAACATGTACAGAGGGTTACGGGATCGACTTCTGATGGAGACTCAGATTCTTTTCCACCTCAAGTTCGAAAAAACCGAATTTACATAATTATTAAAACCAAGTCTTAATTACTTTGAGTAGAATGAAGCAATAAACGGAGGACTACATTCGGAGACAAGGAATATACTTCGGATTGCACAATATTCTCTGAGTCTTCATTTTTTTCACACTTACGCTTCAACTGGGCTCGAGTCAGTCCGCTCTTAAAATTACCTAGTCATCGTTCCTTGTTTTTTGACCAGTAGTATATAAATTTTAGCGATTTCATTTCTCCAGAGAAGAGATCGGAATGTGACGCGGGCCGGACCGCTGGAGAGGTAAGCGCGGGCTCATTATCTTCAGGAATCGCGTTCCTCACCTTGAGAAGGTTGGTTGCTGAGTGTTCGTTGTTTTTTTCTCCTGTTTCCGGCGTCATGGTCGTTCAAACTTCTTTTACTTCTCTTAGCTGTGAAGAGTAAATATTACGTCAACACTGAGGAAAGCTTACAAACCTTCAAACGAGGAGATTGGTGACACCATCACACGTCAACACAACTTTTTTTAGAAAGAGATTCACAGCCACGTCCCTCCCCCCTTCCCTAAACACAATGGTGAGACATTTCAGCCGATATCATGATTACATAGATACAGTAGTTATCAAGGATTAACACGCGACAATAAAATACCAGGCTCCAGTTGTTCGAAGGCTGAATAACGCTATCCACCGGATAAATCGCTATCCTGTAGATAAAAGTTAACAAAACAAACCACGCTGGATAGTGATTTCTCCGGTGGATAGCGTTATCCACCTTTCAAACAAACCGTGCCAGATACAGTTGCTTGATCTTGGGCAAAGCAAAGTACTTAACTTAATAACAACCGAAGACTGAAAGTCGGGCAGCTTTCACGGGCTATTTGTTAAAACAAAACAAACAAGGGAAAAAAACACGCCTATTCAATCGTACAACGCGGATCTCATCCCAGCCTCACCCCCGTCAAAATAATTGATTAACGTTAACCCGTCTCCTAGCAGCCATGATATTGATTCAATCAATTCAAATTGAAGTGATGGATTCAACACTATGGCTGGATATATAAAATTCAGGGATCATATAAAGAGAGAATGTAATACTTCCCTGGGTACCAGAGGTTTTTTCTCGCCCGCGGCGGACGGAAATACTTCGCTTCGCTTCGGTGGGAAACCTCTGGCACCCAGGGTAATGTGAGGCTTTTCTTGAGTGAAAATTCTCACTGTTATCTCGTGAACTTTACCTTGAAGATTTTCTTTTTCTTCGTCTATCACAGCTTGAATTGAGTCGATTTCCCACTTCGGAATCGGTTTCACTTTCCAGATCGCTGTAACTAACTTTTCACGAGTTACCCTGAGCAGAAATAGACAATGTATGTTACTATCATGATAGACTATTGACACACTGCGCAGACAAACTGCAAGTGACAAAATGGATAACACAGGTGAAACGCGTTGATGAAAAACGAGTTTCCAAATGCGTTAGCAAAAACGCGCCAACGTGTTGACTTCTTTTTTCAACGAGTTTGAAACGCGTTTGATAGTTCGCTTATCTCTGAGCGGTATTTTAGGTGATTTAAGGCAATTCGTCCCATGTGGAATTAAATGCAACGTATACTTGGGATCAAGCTTTTGCTCTGCCCACATTTTAAAACCTTAAATTAGGCGATTTAAAAATTCTCCGCCGTGGTCCCTATTCAGCGCAGTGTGTTTAAACTTCATACTAATTTATCCTTTTTTTTCACGTCTGGAAATAGATTTATGCGGCGTTACAATACGCGGACTTTACTGGATAAATTACATTACTCCATCATTCTTTTGATCATATTCAGTACGACATGTTAGAATTTTATTATAGCTGGAATACTGTACTGTAAGTAATGTAAGTATTTCGCATAACATATTGTAAGTATTCCCGGGAAGTATTGTAAGAAACTGAATGTACTGTACGTATTGTATTGTTAGTAGTGCAAGTAGCCGGTATTGTAAGTAAATGTATTTTCTGCAAGTAATAGCAGTATTCAATTGTAAGTAGAGTATTGTGTTGCCAGGGTAAGTAACCCTATTGACATTTGTAAGCAACGTAAGTATTGTTCTGTGAGTAGAGATTGTAATGAGATCTGCATTGTAACTAATGTAATAATTATGTGTTTTGTAAGCTAAAATTATTGAAAATATACTCTGTCATTTACCGTTATTTAAAATGCACTTACAGACTTGCTGGAGGATGCAGCAAGATTGGCAAAACTTGCGCTATTTCTGTCAGCGGTAGAATCTCAACTGAAAATAATGGATAGTAAACTAATTGTAAAGATAATAGATCGTCTTTCTAATGGCATTATTATGTTTGCTAAGCTGAAAAAACTGAACAGGAGCGGTGTATAAGCACTGCAATCTAATGTACGAAGAACTGAACAAACCTGAGAGCACATCCAACAAGGCGAGGGCAACTTGGAAGATCACCGACATACCTGAGGGTAAAAACCAGTATATCTGTTAGGTTGAACAAAAAATCCGGTTGATTTGTTGCGCGTTAAAAGCTAGAATGTATAAAAAGATAATTAAATTTGAAATTTCTTGTTAGGCCAACCCTTAAGGACGTTAAGGCCAACCAAAATTAAAATAATAATTAAAAAGAAGATAATAACGGAGTGATTAATCGTTCATTCCACATATTGTATCTAGAGTTTTCAATCACATGCAAGACAACGAGACTTTCACACGCATTCTTAGTATATAAAGAACTCATAAGAATCTGGCCTTTGGTTCTGCGAATTTGAAAATGATGAACGAGTCATGGAAACGTCATTCAAACATACCAGGGGGTTGTAGGTCCTGCAGTTAAATTAAATAACCATTATGCTCATAACATACATGTGCATGTATAATGATGTACCAACCTTCCAACAGAAGCATGTCCCAGATAGCGAGTACAGCGTCCCAACAGGGTAGAGATGTAAACAGGGCCATGAACCACGGCGTCAAGTACATCAGCGGTAATACACATTGCGCTTCCTAAATACAGGACCAGTGATAACATGTCAACTGTTTTGTTCTTGAAGCCAAAATGGCAAAGAAAAATGTAATATTCTGATCGACTTAGCACTTGCGACCTCCAAAGGACAAGTACATATCAATGTTTATAAAATAAATCTATGTGAGATACATCATACCACGAACACCCTGACTGGTCGATAGGTGTTTTTAGATGAGAGTACCTTAACACAACTGTGACGTTTTAGATTCACGTGTATTTTTGAGAAATATTTTATAAAAGCAATAGAGGGTTTGTCCGTGTTTACATAGTCTTATTTAAACACGAGGGGGGTTGGGACAATTCGAGACAGTTATGCGAACCCTGGACTGCATTTTGGGTTTGCATAACTGTCTCGAATTCTCCCAACCCCCCTCGTGTTTAGATGAGGCTATGTAAACACGGAATAAAACCTCTTATCTATTGCTTAAGTGTAACTGAGTTGACAGCGATTAAAAGTTGTTACAGTGTTAGTATTAAATTTTTACCAAGTGTTTGTAAAGCTTGGTTCTTCTCTGTCTCATCAATCTCTCAAAAACTGCCGCATGTCTCTGAATCCTACAAACAAAATTAACACAAACAATGGGCTGATGCAGAACGTTCGCAGGCTACCATTTCCGACAACGAAAATAAAACCGTCCGAAATTTTTAAGCGTCCGAAATATATATATATATATTCTATAAGTAGCTCCAAAGCTCTTAGTTTCCTTTATTGAGTGAACTCTTGTTGAGACACTTGAGATACGTAACGGCTTGATGGAATTAGTTATTTTCTCGTCGGTTTATACGTAAAACCTGGAGGGTGCGGTACATCTATAATTTTCATAGATGTTATCTCAGTCTAATTAGTGTTTGTACGCGTAAATTGTTTCAGCTAACTGTTCGAACTTTTTGCCCGATTTTTTTTCCAGAATCAGATGAAAAGCGGCCGAAAATTAAACATCCGGGTTTTTTTTGGAAGTAATGTGCGTATAGAGAGTAGAGTCAAAACTTACTAAGCTGATCTGACTGGATTTTCATTGTAATTTGCAGGTGGTGAAGGAAGCGTTACTGTCAACACTTGCACAAGAGCTCAAAGATGCCTTCACCGAAAAGTGTCGCAACGCCTGGGCGCTAACCTTCGACATTTTGGCAGAAGCCATGGCCGCGGGGATGGTTTCTTCGTGACGAAAACCAGTATAAACTTGCGAAACCTGATCCGATGTATACCGTAGAATTCCGAAAGCTTTACGACACCTCGTTAATCAAGTTATAATCTCTTCTCTGGAAATCTAAAGCATGCGAATAAAATCTAAATCATTATATCTTATTGTAACTACCTGATAATGGTCGTAGTTTAACACATTTTCACCACTAAGATTCGGTTTCAGAGCTGTCTATTTTTACAAATTCTGTTCTGTTGTCAGTTGTAGAGAGAATTCACGCTCTCTCTACTTAAGAAATGCTTCGGTAAATTGCAAGGGGCCTGACTGGGTTTGTGCAGAAAATTAACTCGTTTAGAGAACACTTGTTCAGTACAGTATATGTCTATTTTTACAATTTATACATGCACCGCGTACTTGCGGCATAAAAAAGTCGTGTTCAAACACATTAATTTCTTTGATAAGCTTACACAGGTGCATTAATTATTCTGGTACTTTAC